AAATTTTAATTAATTTCCATAATTCCCATTAAATGTGTCCATTTGCACTAGCTTCAAATTAGCAAGCTTCACTTCCTATTGAAACATGCTGGAAATTTGCAGTACTGTTCAAAAAGTGAGTGAACAGCGATTATCCAATGCAATAATGATAAAAAAAAAAATTCTCGTCCATCTTTATCTCATTGTATGATTTTTACAACACATCTCCTCGATGTCTTTACACAGTAAAGACAAAAATCTGCAATAGCTTCATAAAATAGCAATGCTTTATGACACACTCATGTCCCCTTCTAATAGCCAGGTAGACAGCAGAGCACAGCAACTAGTGGGGAAGGGGCAGTGCTGCATAATATGATTCAAAAAGCCTGGAAAAAACATCCTGTCACTCCATCATTGGCATCGCCTCCAAAGGACTCAAAACCATTATAAGAAAGATCAATTAGTAAAGCTAAGCAGTTTTAAAACTAAAACTTCTCATAACATTGATTCCAGTAATTGACCCATGGCTGATGTAAATGATAAGCAAGCATAGTTCATTGTATTCAGAAAAGGATAGATGCACCATCTGAGCATCTGCAGGTACGTTGCATAATGTCCATTTAAGTTTATTTACACAGCAGATTAAAAAAAAAACAAAGACAGAGCTAACCGAAATGCTGCACAGTCAAGCTAAGACAAGTCAATAAAACACAATGGAATAAAATTAAACATTAAAATGTTAATGTATGCCAACACTGCAAAAACTGGTCTAAAAATAAGTTATAAATTCTAAAAATAAGCAGATTTTGACTTATTTTGAGTGAGTGAATAAGATGGTGTGCCAATGGAATGAGCATTTATGCCCTTAAGAAAAGATAATTAGATTTTATGCACTTTGAATAAGAATATAAAGTAGTTTTTCTTGTTTCTTGTATTCTCCTACTCAAATCAATGAAAATAAAGTTACTACACTGGAAAAACGATCTAGAAATAAGTAAAAATTTCTTAAATCAAGTGCATTTACTCTTAATTTGAGTAGGTAAATGAGGTAGATTGCCAAAGAATGAGTATTTTTACTGTTAAAATAAGATAATTAGATAAAATGCACTTGAAATAAGACAAACCAATTGTGTTTTCTTATTTTAAGTGTAAATTGTCTTGTTCCATTGGCAAAATGTCTCTTTTACCTCTTTAATCTAAAAAACAAATGCACTTAGTTTAAGAAAAAATAACTTATCTAGATTTCGATTTTTTTCCAGTGACGAAGAATAGATTAACTTATATTTCACTTTTTGCGGTTCACTAAGAAAACCCACCCAAATCATAAAAAAAAAAAAAAAAAATCCCCTTTACATATTTAGTAGCAAAATAAGTAGATTTATCTGTAATGGGGAGATATTTTCATTGTTTTAACAGTAGCAAATGTAACATAAATATATCTAAATAAAATTGCATGGTGTGCATTTGCCAGGAAGTAACCGCTCTAACAGAAGCCAAAGGAAAGTTATTAAGGAGAGCAACTAGGATGGTGGTGCAGTTTGTAACACTGCTGCCTTGCAGCATGGAGATCATGAGTGTTGAAGGCTATAGTATTAAATTGCTAAGTAGACTTGACCCAATTTCTCTTCCCGTTTAACAGAAGTTGAATTTAGACGTAATTTACCCAACCAAACTGAATGCTAATTGCTACTTTTGCTGTTATTTTTAAAGTGAAATGATCCGTTTGGTCTGAATCAGTTGAGTCTTTCATAAGTTTAGGGCAGAAACTGTGGAACCCAGATCGCCTTTATGTTCTGATCCAGATCCTGTACCACCAAAGAAAAACTAGTCCCGAGTTCTCTTCCTGCTGTGTGGATGCCAGAGATATGACATGGAGCAAAACCAATAAAAGCTTTAAAAGTAAGTGATGCAATGTTCAAATCAATTTGGAAAAGGACTTGTTTCTAGTGAGGAGAAGCCAGGAGTGAAGTGGTATGTTTACGCTTCTCGGTGCCAGGTAAAAATGAGCTGCAGCATCCTGTAAAGTAGGATGACTAGAGCATAATACAGAGCATTGGCTGTGATGTAATGAAGCATGATCACTCTTTCCAGGTCTTTAACAGGTAAAGAGGGATTTAACTATGCAGTAACTCTTATTTGGAACAAGTTTCTCCTTTGCATTCATACGACCTGGTTGTCATTCGTCTGAGCCGCCAAGAACACCACAAAGAGCATGACTTCTTTGAGATAGTGGAGTCTAGATGTGAGCACTGCTGATATGTTGAGCAAATATTTAATCCACATGTTTTATCTGTAACAAGCAGCAATTGCAGAAGCTGTGCGGCGTGTTGCATCACTACACTCTGCTCAAATCCCCCCTTTGTTGTTCTCCGTTTTTGAGCCTCTGTTCTGGTGTTTCTTCTAAAATCAAAAGTTATGTTTTTGTTATCTTTTGTTTCTAATCAATGCTGTGTCATTTTTGGGGTCTTTGGTTAAGTTCTAAAAGCAAACCTGGCATAAATGAGGAGAAAAGAGACGATTCGAGCTGCTCCAACCACAAAGATCGGCTACAAAAATGTATTGAAATATTCACTTTTTTTTGGATGTAACTTAAAAAAGGAAAGGATTTTTTTTTATCTGCAATTAACTGAAACATCATGAATTTATGCCTTTTATTTTCATATAATCTAATCTAACGCAAAATAATTTCAACTGGAACTGTTGTGTTATAAGTATACTATAATATGTACATAATATAAGTACATAATAGTAACATATAACATAATATAAACATTATTTATCATTCATATTCATTATTTTATTTGTTGAGTCTTCACAGACTAGTTTCCCAAGTACAAATAATCTCATATGTCTTATTACTTGGATTAAAACCATGTCCATAGGAATCCCCGTGCATTATATGTACATGTTCATATTTAGAGGAGGCAAGTTTCAGCTTTGTGGAGCAAAACAAAGCTCTCTCTTAGTACTCATGGGCTTAAGTCAATTTTTTTTTTTTTGATATTTATCTAAAATGTAACTAAAATATAACCTTGCCTAACCTTATATTATTTTGGGATTATTTTGGAATTCACAAACCATCTTCTTCCTCTCCAGTTTAAATCCTTAGATTGCTTCCCCAAAACTGATTCACCAATCATGTTGCCGTATTATAGTTTAAGGCGGGACATGTAGTTTTTTTTGTTTTTTAAAGGCCAATACCGATTATTTGCCATCAGAATAACCAATATATTTGCTGTTGATTTTTGGAGGTGCCATATTTTTAGCTGATATTGCTGTTTTTTTCTTCTGTTTATATGATAAGAATTACACAATGGTAAAAAATGCAAAATAAGTAAGCATAAAATTAACCTTTATTTACAAAATAAAGACAACACTAACAATGGATAGCAAATGGAAGGAGTGAAAAGGCTGCTGAATGCCCTAATGAAACGACAAACGCAGCCACATATCAATGACATAGTATTAGGGCCAGGCTAGAGATTTATTTATTTATTTTATTTTGAGAACAAATTTGTAATATTAGGAGAATAAAGTCGTACAATTACGTTAATAAAGTTGTAATTTAACGAGAATAAAGTTGTAAAACTATGAGAATAAAGTTGTAATTTTACGAGATTGAAGTCATCATACAACAACCAGTTTCAGAAAGTCGTGCAATTACGAGAATAAAGTCGTAATTGATTAACTTTATTTTCATAATTCTACGACTTTATTCTCTTAATTTTACGGCTAAATTCTCGTAATGTTACGACTTTATTCTCGAAATAGAAGGAAAAAAATCTCTAGCCTGGCCCTAATATTCCGTCGTACGTATTGATCAATAGGATCAAAGAAAAAAACCCTTTCAGCCAAAAATATTGAGTCAAACTCTACAATAGCTGTGACAAAAGCAAGAACTACGCCACCCAAAACTAAAATAACCACGGCAGTGCAGGAGGACGGACATGTAGCTGCTGCTGGCATATCTGTGTGCTCAGAATCCAAGATTTCATCTTCGAAAGAAGAACAGCAAGAATGTAAAAGTTTAAGTTGTGGTTCCTCATGGTGTCTACTGCTATTTTCATTCATTACAGTGATTGGTTAAAACCAAACTTTGGTAGGCGGGTATTGGCTGTCACTTCGACCAATCAGGTCTAAAGGTTCTGATGAGCTTTCCACCATGCTATCAACAGATTAGATGGAAGCATTTTAACATTAATAACGAGTTGAACTATGCTGGTGAAGATTCTCAGTCATTAAGGTCATAGTCATTCTAAAAAAAGAAAATTTAAAAAACAATCCACTGTACTACAAGTTTGAAGACATTGAAGACATTTTGGTTCCCATCCAGGAAGCTTTTTCAATTCAAAATGTCAGGAATAGTGTTGAGTTCAAGGTTTTATACGATTATATGATGGGCTACTGTATAAAACCTCGAACTTGACGGTATTCCTGACATTTTGAATTAAAAAAGCTTCCTGGATGGGAAGAGAAATGTCTTCAAACTTGGAAACAAAGTCCAGTGGATTGTTTTAAATTTTCTTTTTTTTGGAACGAGTTGAACTAAACCTGAATGCAACACTTATCAATCTAGCTTTCCAGGTTAAAATTTGATGCTGTTTTTTTTTTTATAATTTTGTTTTTTCAAATTAAAGGTTTTGGCAGTTAGTCAACATACAAGGGTTTAAATTTGTTAACTAATCTTATAATTTCAGTGTATTAACCATTATTTGATAATAGACTTGTGGTCAAAATTCGCAACCAAATTGAGTAAAGCATGCCTGGGGTCTTGGTTTCTGCTTTATTTCTGATCAAATTAGTAGCTAACACAAGTTAATCTGACAGCCTGACTTCTTTTGCACATCTAACCATTGATAATACTAGAGCAACATAATACCAAGTCCTTCATCTAAAAGTCACATTTGTTGTTAAATGTGCAAATCTTCATATGATTCTGAGAAAGGATTCAAACATTCCCACATATAAAAATAAATAAATGTTTGTTTGTTTTCTTTTCCGCGCAGAGAGTGCATTCCTACCTCCATAGTAACCATAAGGCCCCGGTCCTAAAATGTCTGGATCCTCCAGTCTGCCTCCTAGAGGTCTCATCCTCCTGGGGCCCCTGAAGAAGGCGTGGCGTCGGGCCCCCAGAGCGCTCAGCTGCTTCATTCGCCGCTCTTTGGATCTTCTGTTCTGGAACCAAACCTAAAACCAAACCGATGGCAGAGCTGATCAGTGGGAGTTTCCCATCTTGTTGTTAGGATTCTGTTCCTCAAAGATCTACTTGTTAATATCTTTCTCATGAAAAAAAAAAAAAAAGTTAGTTATTCAGGGTTTTTTTTTACGGTTTGCACTGAGAGCTTTCACTCCCATCAGCCTTGTCTCTCAGTCATTTATTTCCCTTCTTTAAAAAGCCTCCTATTCAGTAATTGTACAGAAGTTCTTTTTAAAAAGAAATCAAAAAGGTCTCTCTTCTCACCTGTTTTGAACCCATTTTAAGAAACCTTTGCCCCAATTTGCTCAAGTATTTTAACCAACCTTTGTGATGCTTTTAAGTTCTTTAGTCAATGAAAAATTTCAACAAATAGAAACTTTTAAAGCACTTGAGATCAAGACTAAAAACAGCAATAACCCCAATCTTAAATTCTGATCAAATATTTACATTGTAAGATCAAGTGTGTAATTCTTCACCATACACTGGAAAAAAATCAAAATCTAGATAAGTCATTTTTTCTTAAAATAAGTGCATTTGTTCTTGGATTGAGGAGGTAAAAGAAACATTTTGCCAATGGAACAAGAAAATTTACACTTAAAATAAGAAAACACAATTACATTGTCTTATTTCAAGTGCATGTTATCTAATTATCTTATTTTAAGAGCAGCAAAACTCATTCCATGGGCAAACTATCTCATTTACTTACTCAAATGAAGGGTAAATACACTTAATTTAAGAAAATTTTACTTATTTCAAGATCGATTTTTCCAGTGTAGGTGTTATTTTTAGTTGAAACGCCATGATGTTGGAAAGCACAAGGGATTCAAATCAGACAGAGATTTAGATTATAAAAGGTCCTTTTTTTTTGTTACACTTTTTAAGATGAATCCCCAAATAAGCATAATGGTGCACGCTCCATCAGTGGCGGTTCTAGACCAAATGTAGCAGGGGGCTAGGAGGGGGACAGCGTGTTTTCATGGGGGCACAGAAAGACATGAAATGAAAAACAGGGCAAGGGATTCAAATAAATTAAGAGAGATGCATGAAGTGAAATTTCTATTCAATTAGTTTTCATTAAAATTCTAAATGTTTTATTAGGTCAATATGCATTCAGAATTTAGGAATTTTACATATTTTTTACTTAATTTAAGTTGAAATTACAGTTTTCTATAAAATCTGAATTAGAATTTAAGAAAACCTGTTAAATTCAGCTGTAAAAATAGTATTTTTTTTATTTGTTTTGAAAAAAACAAAAACATTTAGCAGATGAAAACTGGGATCCTATCTCAATACCACTGAAGCTATCACCTTATTGTTTTAAAATAGTTATTAAAACAGAATTTGTAAAGAAAAAATTAAATAGATCCAAAGTATCTATCAGTGACCATGTCTATTCCAGCGCATATCATCTCTAGAATTACTTTGAGTATTATGTCTTCAGTAGTGGCCAGGACATGATGTACAGGGGCCCTGGCCCCCGTTGGCACCTGTCTAGAACCTCCCATGCACTCCATGCACGCCCCCCCTCCAGCAAACCTGCATTAACTTAAAATAAACGGCCTGATCTGCAGCTCAGAATATGATTAAATAAACTTTCTTTTGGAAAAAAAAAACTAACAAAGGAGGATTTGAAATTTGCAAAGCTGCACGCACCATATGGAGGAATGTCTTTGCATTACAAGTACATAACACGTCGCGTTTCGCCTTTGCATCACTGCTGCATAATGATGTATGTTCACACCATGGTAGGCTACACCAGAGGCAGGATCCCACTGTGCTGCAGATTAACAAAAAACACACACACGCAGAAACAGCCAAAAACCACTTAGGCTGTGCTCTCTGTGCTCCAGCGGCAAAGGCAACACCTGCTTATTGAGAACAATCGTCTAACTGTAGGGTACATTTTTATGGAAATGCTCTCGCTTCCCTTGAGAGAGCCTTGCTTAGGGATTACATCCACATGCTGGAGAAGCAGCGTGGCTCACAGGGGCTCCCCGCGTTGAGAGCTGGGGTATTTAACGCACACCGAACGAGGAAACGCAGCCTCCATTTTGGCTCCAAGCATTACGCGCGCGCGCACAAGAGGCCCGAGGTGGAGGTGGGACGATGGTCCCACTGACTGACTTATTGACTGGTTTGTTGATTGACTAAATGATCGAGCTCGCACACAAACAAAACGGCCTGTAGTTTATGATAGAGGGAAGCGGAGGAAACAGGCTGCAAGTGAGTAAGAGCTGAGAGGTGGGAAAAAGGGGAGGGTGGGATGTAAATCTGTGAAATCAGCGATAATTACAGTGAGTGCACAAAAAGCCACATCACAGTTGGCAGAGATGGTGCTAATCATCCTGACACAGTCTGCACCCAGACACCCAGCTCGTGCGCGCGTGTGTGTGTGGAGTCATGGAGGATAAAAGACAGCAGAAAGCTGCGCGTGCGCGCGCGCGCGCGTTACGTGGCACAACATGTTTGTGTCTGGGGTTCCTCTTAGTATTGGCAAGCGGCGAGGCTAACCTTTTTTTCTCATTTCATGGCTGTGAAACATGTATTATTTCCAAATAAACTGCTGCCTCCAGTGTAAACATGTTCTCTATCCTTCCCAATGTAACAACAACAACCAAAAAATAGGATTAAAAAAAAAAAGTATCATCATATACATAATATATTTTATAATTTAAATAAAATCTTGAGTTTTTTTAAAGATTAGAAAAAAGAAAAAATGTAGAGTATTTATTATAATGATAAAATAAAAAAACAACACTTTATATTAAATATAACAAATAGAAAATATTTATAATACAATAAAAAATAAATTATATTTTAAAAAGTATTTAAGCAAAGTTTAAATATATGTTTCTTAATAGGATAGGATTAAGAATAAAAACAGGCCTTTGCTGCAACCATTATTATCATTTTATCATTATCACCCAAATAGGTTCATAATGTATAGACCTTAAAGAAACATTTCACATGGTGCGTAGACGCTAAAATTTGGATCTGTAACCCTGCTAATGGTCCACATCATGTTTTGACATTTCTCTTACCGATAATGAGCCTTTCAATTAAATGTCCTGCCCACTTCGGGGAAAATTAAAAGGTAATTTTACTGATTTATAATCCATCATTTGTCTCTAATCTGACTTTGTCTCAGTGGGTTTTTTTTTTTTTTACTAAATTCCATGAAAGACACTGGTGCCACCAAGGGGGAGGAGCTCAGTCCCCTCATGGTCCAACAGTTCAATATGCATCTTTATTTTATGACTATAAATTTAAAGGAGAATGGGTTTTAATGACATGCAGCAGTTAGCAAGCTTGTTAGTTTTTTGTTTTTTTTTGTGATGTCATAAACTAAAGTAGACCTCTAGAGGTGATTCCCTAATGTCTTTATTATATAATTTTATTTTTCATTTATGGCATCCTAAAAACTACTGGGTAGAGGTTTGAAAATTCAGCTTGTAAACCGTTGGCCCCCATCTAACCACCCCTATGTAAACTTTCTGGAGACGCCCCTGTAATACAGTCATTCTCACACTTTTTGTGTAAAATTGCATAATCACTAACTATCTAAATTTTAAAAAATTAAATATTGGAAATGACTTTAAGGACATTTAAATGTAGAAACGTTAGAGTTCATTCATGAGCTTTTTAAACCTAAATCTCCTATTTTTTAACAGGATAAAGATGATGCTGTATCTTTAACAATGTTAAAATGTTGGAAAAGGGTAGAATAAATGGGGTTTTACAGCAATCTTAGTTTTGATTGCATTATTTTAAACAAGATAAGGAGGTTTTTTTTAAAATATTATTCAAAAAAAGTGATCTCTAAAAAAAAAATAGTATAATAATAATAAATATATTTGATCAAAGGTGTGAGTTTACCTGGATGACTCGCATGTTCAGCCCCGTCTCCTGCGCCAGCTGCTCCCGGATGTGCCGCGTCGGCTTCGGCGTCGCCACGAACGCCGCCTTTAACGTCTCCAGCTGCTTGGCCTTGATGGTGGTCCGGGGCCCCCGCCGTTTGGCCCCCGAGTTCTGCTCCTCGTTCTCAATATTGTTCGTTTCCTTATCTGAGGACGTGGAATTGTCCGTCTCCTTTATGTCGTCCTGTATCGGGTCCTGGAGATCCGGTGATAAACTCCTATCTGTGCACGACGAGACTGCAGGGACCCGGGGGATGGGTGGGGGTGGTGGGGTGAGGAGGATGCAAACAAACGGGGAGGAAGGTCACGATCCGAAATGTCAAGGAGGGAGATAGAGAAAGGAGAAGGGAGGGGGTGTATTTTAGTTTAATAAGCCCAATTTCTTCTAAATTAATTTAGACTTTTGGATCAAATGTGTCCATTTTCTGCTGTTTTTTTTTATTATTTAATATAAAAACAAACTTATTTCTCATTAAATAAAAAGTAAGAATTAACTCTGAGAATAATCTATGGAAATAAACCAAAAGCAATGAAGCCAATTGATAGAGCAGTATGTGCAACGTGTGTCTGCTTCTTTAGCACGCGCCAGCATCCTCATCCCCTGCGGACCCTGAGCGCAAAACCAGAAAGCTATTGTTCTTTAGAGGTAAATATTGAAACTATTCAGTCTACAAGGTTGTTTGGAAACGCTCTCCACGACTTAAAAAAAAACAACACACTCTAAAATGTATTAAAGCCAATTTTTATTCGTTTGATTTTCCCAAAAGAAGGCCGAAATTTTCTAAAATGCGCATGTCTGCAATGATTTTGTTTATTTTTGTTAACACTTTGTTGACAGAGAGAGAGAGAAATGAATGCACGTTGCTCACCTGAGTTCAGGTTGACTTCCTTAATGGCCCCGGAGCTCAGATAATCTTCTTTGCACACGAACTTGTTTTCGTCTATCACGTAGAGCTCCTCTCCCGTGGACAGCTGCTTGTTACACACCATGCAGGTGAAACAGTTCAGATGGAACACCTTGCTGCGGGCTTTGCGCACCAGGTCGCTCGGAGAGATTCCCTGCAGGCAGCCGGCGCATTTTGTTCCGAAGCGCCTGGACACAGATCCAAATCACACCATCGTTATTATCGCCCTTTTAAAATATTTCATATTTTGCATCAAACAAATGAATCCAATTTTATATCATATTAATATTTATATTTAATATTTTAAATTAGAATCAACATTTTCTTATGAGGGCGTAGAAAAATGCATTATAGCTCTAGTACAGGTCAGAATGAGGCTGGTTTATGGACTAACCAAGGTTTTCTTTCACTTGTTTGTTGTTATACACATAATAAAGCGAATTTGTAAAAGGATATGCAGTTAAAATGAAAAAGTTCACACGCGTAAAGACGTTTCTTCCAATTTTTAAGATGATTTTAGAGTGTAACAAATGAGCTACCCATACTGGCTATTTAATTGTTGTGTAATAAACATTAAGATCAAATTTGTTTCCATTTAAAGGTGGATTTTTGGTTAAAAGGGTGAAAAAAAATGTTTTAAAGTAATGTTTTACCAAATGGACCTGCATAAGTTTGACTTTTATGTGATTTTTTTTTTTTTTACTTAAATGGACTTAAAAAAAAAAACAAGAAAAAAAAAGGAAAATGTGTTTTTAATTTTTTTTTACAGCCACATAAAGACAAAGATTAACCATTTTAGCAGGTTATGGGGAGTAACAGTATTGGGAGTGAGGTGCATCACTTTTGCAGCTTTTGTTTCAGTTTCATCATTTTAAATACATTCCATAATAAAAGCTTATTATAGAACAATTTAAGAAGAATGAAAAAAAAAATCTTCATTTTATGAATTAAAAAATATTTATCAGAGCACATCTTTTTAAATCGATCAAATATACATTAAAATATCAATTTAGATGTCAAACTTGCCGTGTTAACTATTATCAGGAAAACTCGTGAATCAAAGTAATGATAATAATAAAGGCTAATTTTGATGGAAGCGTTCTGACAATAACCCCACGCAAAAAGTATTAGTGACAATCAGCACATTGTAGCCGCGGATATATTATGGGATTGAGCAGAGTGGGGAGCATTTTAGCGTGGAAATCTTCCTTTAATCCATATTTAGTCGCCTAAATAGTGGGAAGACTCATCAATTTGATGCACAAATATAGCTTAGATAAATTCTGTGGAATGTCATCCTCTAAATATAGCAAGGTGAATTAATTTGGGTGAAAAAGGAAGAGAATTTCTTGCTTTTATTTCGCTCTAATATAAATAATTTGATTTTTTTAAGGGTTGCGTGTATCACCTGCTACAACTCTCCTGCACCTTGATTTCCAGTGGACCTATAAGGGTGTGTTTAAGCCTTTCGGGTGAGAGCATGCTCCTTTTATTGTGGAGCATTGTTTTTTTGTTTTACACTAATCTAAGCTTGTTTCCCCATTTGCAATGGGATGCGCCTTTCACATGCATGGCCAAGCCTTGCCCCCCTTCACTCCAAAACACGCAAAAGGAAGAAAAAAAAAAGGGCACAACACTACTTACACAACAAATGGACACATTAGGGTGATTACTGTTTCGCCCGGCTAATGGCTGGGCCATTTAAATCCAGCGCTTGATGGGGACCCGCAGTTATATGATGGCCAAGGCCGTGCGAGGGGCCAATAACAGCCCCGGCCCCGACAGAAACAGGGGGGGCTGGCGCGCCTTACATGTCATTAGACAATTTGGGGGAGTAGGACGGTCAGAATGGAAATGAAAATGATGCAAAGAGAAGGGCTTCACTTTTATTATATCACCCAATTACCTGCAACACTTTTTGGGGGATTGAGAAACAGTTAATGGCCTAATGGATGTTTGGGAAGTGGCACCAGGGAGATGGGGATGGACTTTCAAAATAATACAAAACAGTTTCCTCTTAAATAGAAACATTTTGAACCTATTTTATTATAAAAACCATTATATCAATTGGTAATCTACAATGAGCTTGACTGCACTGCGTTAACGAAATTACACTCTGTGATTCCATATATTATTAATCCGATTATATAGATCTGTTTTTTCTATTTTTAAATTGATTCTATAAAAAAAAAAAAAAAAAAAAAACAATAACAAAGACTCATCCAAAGTGAAATAAAAGGCCGGAAAGCCTTTATAGATTTGTCACAATTTGATAAAATCTTATATTTGACTTAAATTGACAACTTTGTTGTTTTTGTGTTTATTTATTTGGACAATACATTTATATTTATTATTTTAGATTATAAATAAAATTGTTAGTTTTTCCTCCAATCTATGTCCTGATATAAAGCGTAAAGTTTCAGTTTGTGTCAGAATATTTTTACTATATATCTTGGGCGTAAAGCTTTCAGTGTTTTTGGCCTTAAATAAAGGCGCATCTCGCCAAAAGGTGCCAGTCTCCCGATGTTACCTGAAAAAGTCCATTTTGCAATAGAGCTTTCCGTCCCGGGAGAAGCACTTCTCGGTGAGGTTGCAGTTGCATTCGCAACATTGGACGCATTTGGCGTGCCAGGCTCTGTCCAGCACGTTGAGGAGGAACCGGTCCAGGATGGGCCGCTCGCAGCCGGCGCAGAGGACCATCATGATGCCGGTCCGTGAGGCGCCGAGTGCCGACCTCTCCGCTGCACAGACCGCGCTGCTCGGACTGAGGCAAGCCGGCTCTACGCGGAACAACGTCTTGGCTCTGGGTTGAGGAGTACTACCCGAAGAAAAAATTAAATAAAATAAAAATAAAAAAAAGAAATGCAAAATTCTCCCGTGAATCCCTGGAAAATCTGTTAGGGTCCTGAGTCCTGCTGTCACAATCCACAATCCAAAATCAGAGGAGAGTATTCAGATCTGGGTGATGAAGAAACCAACCATATTTTTTGTCTTTTTCCCCCCCTTTCAAACATAAATAAAACTAAAACCTCATCTTTTAGATTTTTTTTTGTGTTTTAAATATTTATCTAAAATAATTCCCTCATAGCTTCTGTCTTGTTTTAAGTCCAATCATCTCCTCCGGGCTCACCTCACGTTGCCACTTTCACATCACTGTGCCTGGGTTATCGTCAGGCTTTTTTTTTTCCTTTGCCAGCGCTGAGCTGCATCCAGAGCTCAGATTGGACGGGGCCCCTGTTAATTCCCCGCATCAGACGAACCAATCAGAGAGCAGTTGTCATAGTTACACGCTCATAGCTGTGTAGCCTCCGAGCAGGACCCCTTAGAGCAGAAATACCTGAGCCGTGGACTCGGGGTGTTCCTGGTGACGCTGCCTCCACTGAATCCATGCACTTTAGACCTGAACATAAATTGTTTTAGAAAATAATCACACAATGGACGCTGATACCTCAGCGGCCTTGTGACTAGAGGAGGAGGGGGGGCCAAGGGGGGGCCCTTTCTCATGCACGCAGCTATTTACAGGGAAATGCGATGGATTAACTTGAGCTCATCAATAGGGAGGGCCCGGTCACCTGGTGCTTTAACAGGGTGGCCCCCAGCCGAAGGGAATTTCAATATTTACCCACAGGCTCGTTTTGTTAGTTGCAGTTAGGCAAACAGCAAAAGCGCTAATTCGTGTTAGTGGACGCAGGAGAGGCTGGTCCCCTCTGACTTAATGGGGGCTTCATTTGAATGACTGCAGGTGTGAATTTTAACTCATTTTACGCAATTTGGGTCATTCAAGACAATAATGAGAGTTTAACAACGGCGATGTTAGTTTAAATACAAATGAGGGGCGATTGGGAAAGTTTTGCAAGAGGTCGAAACATAGGGGTTAGTGAAAAAAACAAACAACATACTGAGAGTGGAACAAGAAAACAAAACATTTTTTTAAAAGTATTTGACAAATTTTTTCAGTCGTCTAATACTAAATTGAGAATATGCAAAATAACTGCCTATATATATTTTATTAGACTGGTTTCAGTATTTTAAACACATTTATAAAAATGTCATTGGGACATAATTGGCGCCCAAAAAAACAAACAAAAACAAATTGAGAACATTCTATATTTTTAATTGACAACCAAAAACTTGATTTTTGGGTTTGAACAGAGATGGCCCGAGGCATAAGCAAACCAATATGCCTTTTAGGACCCTGCCCCTCCCCCAGACATTTCAAAGAGAATATAAATATGGAGAGCTTGATAATTTTTATGAAATTTACAAATAATAGCTCTGTTATAACGCTTACTTGAAAAGGCTTGGAATTTTCTATGAAATTTAATGCAGAAACATGATTGTATGATTGTAACTACAAGTAAATCTATTAAAATGTGTTTAGATGACTGATGTCTGAAACTAAGGCAACTTGTAAACTAACTTTTTTTCAACTAAAAGATTACTATTTCACTATTCAAATAATTTTGTCACCCATCCAAGTGAAACCAGCAGTTTGGAAGATAAAGATTTTAAGCAAATGCCTGGTTTCTCAACTGTGAGCCCTTTATTATTGACAAGTAGCTACTACTGAATTGGTGTTAAAACTATCCACAGAAATTAGCAAAATTAAGCCTTAGAAATTAAGCGTTTTAGCCTAAATAAAGATATAAGGAATGATAAATGAATAGCTAGAATCAGGCAGTTGGAAAAGAAAATCTACGAGGTGTAACCAAACAATTGGTGAACAACTATTCATTAGATTATAAGAGACAAGAAAACATTATTGCGTCTTTACAAAATCCTTTTTTTTAAGACAACTAGTTTTTAGAGCAACTGAATCAGTATAACAGATCTGCATTTTCTTTTTGTGTTTTGAAAAAAAAAAAAACGGCTCACACTGAAAATAAAAAAAACATAATATTTACCCCTCATACAGCTTAATTTTTGTATTGCCTGATGATGCATAATCTACACAAACCAGGAATATGTGGGAAGTTTTTTGCCGACATCTAGTGGTCAGAACACGAAGGACACCCAACTGTGATTTTTACTGTTTATGACTTACTGTAATGGTGGACCACAAAGGACTCTACATAAACTTTATGTATAATTAGGCATTATTTGGCTACATTTGTATGAAAAACCTTCTAAAAATATAAATCTTTTTAAGTGTTATAAAAATCTCTACCTCATTTTGAATCTGCTTGTCAAGAAAAAAAAAATTCAAACATACATTTCTACTTATGGCAGCAGGTAACCCAAATATGACCTGTTAATTAACAGTTTTTTGGTTGTTTCAAATCCTCGTTTGTTTGCATTTTTGTTTTAAATTAGATACTATTAAATAATTTAAACTGAAACATTGATTGACACCCATAATCCGACCACACTTTGTCAAATCAACCCAAGCCTGGGTTAGCAACTCCACAATTTGTCTGTTTGTAACTGAGCATTTTTTTAGAGGATACTTATAAAATCAGTTTAGGTGGAATTTAAGAACAAAATTACACTGTGATTAATGATTTAACAGTTTATTTACAGCTTCTAGCAACAATTTAAAGCCTTCCCCGTTTACTGAAACTTCAGAATCTGCATCTGTCTCAATAGTAAAGGAGGGTGACAAAAAGTGGTGGGTGGGAATAAGGAAAAAATGGTTAGTGAAAAAAAAACACGAAGCATGTCTGAATGCAGATACATTGCATGGTTTTAAAGGAATAAAAGACTCAGGTTGCTTCTGCTTTTGTTGTCCTCTCCTGTGCACACCGACTGCGCAGCCTCACCTGTGGAGAAGAATAAGGGAGCTGTCCGCGGTGCTGAAGGCAAGGAGCACCAAGGACAGCAACAGGCTTTCTTTTCACTGCAAACCTCACATGCCGAGTCTACTGTAAACACCAGTTCTTTTTTTGTAGATACTCTGTATATACTGCATTCAAGAAATGCTGTCAAAGCACCATATTTCCAGTAAAACTTACTGTAACTTCCATTTTTAGCACACAAGGGACAATAATGCCACCACGTTAATGGTAAAATGTGTCTTTTGTAAAGATATGCCTGAGTGACATTGAAACAATACAAAGTGGAAAATTTTTTCTTAGAAATTGAATAAATTATCTTAAACCAAAATAAATGTTCTTAATCTTAGCAAGTAAAGCTACATTATATTTACATTTACTTTAAGTGTCATCTCATTCAAAGCTTAATGATGAGCTCTTGCCTGTTTTGCCTGCATAACAACCGTGTTCCTGAAGGCTTCAACCAGGATGGAATGCTGCAGGGTGGCTCCTATTCATTCAGGAAATTTAGATCCGAAACCCTCCAAGCCGAGCAAATCTCGCAATAGAGGCTCCAAGAGAGAATCAACAGCACACAACCTACTTTCATTTATTTGTTTATGAGTTTGTTTACAAAGGAGAGGGAGTCTGATAGCGTGGTACGCTTGTTTATATGTGCATATTACCCAAGGACCAATGCCTAGAGTGGCTTGAGAAGAATTTCTTTTCTTTTATCAAGAGTTCTTCATAAAAAGGTTTGCATTGCAGCATCTGTGGCTTTTTCTCCCAGTTGTTTTTTTTCCCAGTAATGTGCACCAAAGAAAGTGGAAATCTCAACATTTCTGCTGAATCGAAAGGAACTACTACAGTGTTTTTATATTAAGGTGATAGTTATAAAGGTAAACGCTGATGAAAAGTAAACAAGTGAAAATTCACTCGTGTAATTATAAGTGTGAAGGACATCTTTGGATCAGAAAACAAAAAAGCTTTGAATGTAAGAAGAAATCAGAAAATGCATCCAATGCCCCCACCCTAGAGTTCTCTGCATCGGTTCTTCCCCCCACCCTACCCTGCAGTCACCATGGCGTGTCCCCCCCCACCCCAACCCCAAAGGCATGCACATACGCACGCATATGCACTCACACACATGTTAGACCACCTCCGGGGCCCCTCTTTGGCAGGGTCCGTCCCAAGGGAGAGGTTAGCATGATGGATGTCTGATTGGTAGCCCTCCCTGAGGGCCTCCCTCTCCGTCACCTCTCTGCGCTCTGAATTAAAAGGCCGTTTGTCTCCTCTGAGTCCTCAGCTGTAGAGCGCCGGCCTGCAATTTCACAGCACTCAGAGAGAGAGGGAGACCATTACAGAGGAGGTTGTCAGGGGAGCCATCAGAGCCCGGACACGCCTGAGGGACTCTCTCTTTCCCCTCTATCTTCCCCGGCTCCCGTCTCCTGCTCAGCACCACCAACACCTCTATCGCTCTGCAGCCAGCCAATCCCAAGCTCACAAACATAGAAAATATTCAAGCATCCATGGACTCTTTACACAGATAAGCACGAGCCGGTTTGTGCAAAGATCTCAGGGATGTTGATTTAAATTTTCTTCCTGCTGGCACTTAAATAAATTAACACATAATTAGTTTAATTTTTGGATTGTATGCTGTTAAACGTGCAAAAAAAGAGAGAAAAACCGACATGTGTCCTTCAAGAGACAGTTTTAAAACATTGAAATTTACCTTAAATTAACTGAGGACACTACTTTGGAATATATTTAGTTGGCTTTACAAATTGCTTTTTCTTTTACAGGTGAACAACAGACACAGAACCATATAACTAATATAAGCAACAATAAAACATAAATGTAACGAATAATGAAAACACAAACTTTTATCAGAATGACTCACACTGATTGACATCCTTAAGAAAGATAAAACATCCAAATGTCTTAAGACTCTGGCGAACTGTTGGGGACTTACATTTTACATGTAAAAAATGATGTTCATTCAGTTAGAAATACAACAAATGAACATCTTTAAGATAAATAAAATAAAATTGGCTTTTCCAATGTCCTCCAAAGCACATGGTTAATTTAAAAAAAGTCTTGTATTATAAAAGTAGCCTACTATAGCCACATCTTTTTAAAAGAGAAAAGCGCCTTCAAATGTGGAAGATGACGTTCCTCTGAGTGTTGCTGTTAACAGTAAGATTGTTTTTGTCAGGAACCGCGGACAGATGGACCCAGTATTCAGGAGAGACAGTCAGTAGGAAAGTTCAAAAGGTTTATTAAAATAAAAACAAAACAAAAGCGGAGCTGTGGCTCGAGGACACTGCAGGCAGGGGGGGCGGGGCACCGCCCAATCTCAGACACTCTAGGGAGGAAACACAGGTAAGTGACCACGATCAACCAATAGAAGATTAACTGTGTTGGTCACTTACCTGGTTT